GTTCAGTCTAATCCTTTCTAAAATCCTGTTAAATCCTATGCTTCAGTGATATCCTTTGGCAATGAGTTTTGCAAGTAAAGTGCTCACTGCACATTAATCAGAAAGGTTTATTGCTTTATGGTAGCTTGCTGATGCTGAACTGCTATATATAGTTTGTCAACAATTAGCAGGATGCTTGCGAGGTTATTTAAGTAATTTTTTCTTCCTTATGCCACAACTCGCTGAATTTTCTGTGTGTATGAAAACACTTAAAAGATCCTGTTAAATCCTATGCTTCAGTGATATCCTTTGGCAATGAGTTTTGCAAGTAAAGTGCTCACTGCACATTAATCAGAAAGGTTTATTGCTTTATGGTAGCTTGCTGATGCTGAACTGCTATATATAGTTTGTCAACAATTAGCAGGATGCTTGCGAGGTTATTTAAGTAATTTTTTCTTCCTTATGCCACAACTCGCTGAATTTTCTGTGTGTATGAAAACACTTAAAAGATAATCGGTTACTGCAAGAAAGAAAAACAGAACGAGCCTTACTCAGAGCGGACAGCTCATTTGACATGGCTGTCTTTTAGAAATGGGATTTTAATCAGGAACCTTTGATTAAAATATTTCCTTTGGTTACTCAGGTCCTGGGCACACCCCTGTGGGCTGGAGGCATGCGTGGTAAGCCCAGCCTTATAACCAGTCCCTCGGGCTGGCACAGAGATGGATCTCACCAGGATCAGAGACTGAATTTGTACTCAAGGGGTCCTGGATGACTTTTTCTGTAGGCATCCGCCGTGATAGCTGCCCGGCCGCCCTCAGCAGTGGGAGCACTGGGGTCCCAGCCAGGCTGTGCACTGGGGCTGCTCCAGGTAAAAACCAGGCTGTGACCCAGCTCTGCTGTGTCTGGGTGCCCCCGTCACCCCGATAAGATATTCCCCCCATTGCCTTCACACCTGCCCTTTGAAGGAGAGTGTTGCCCTGTGTGAATGTGCGGGGATGGGGTCTCGGAACCAGCCCAGGGGGGACGATAGGTTTGATGGACTGGGTCCAGGCATGGGATGAGCCTTGGGCACACAGCTCCCCTCTGGCACAGGGCTTCAGCACCCAAAAATTGGACACCTCCATGCTTCAGCCACTTCCTCTGAGACTTCGTGAGTGCTCCCTACTGCAGCAAAGCTCATAATGACAGGGGAGGCCATGATGCCTCAATCCAAGACATCCAGAAAAGGCTGAAAGGAGCAGGGCACCCTCCCATGCTCTTTGGAAAGGGCTGGACTGCACCCAGACGGAGGTGTTTTAATGACTGTTTTGGATCCCTGGGAGCCAGCCTCCTCCCACTCAGCCCAAGGTAATTCACCTCCTCCACCGGTGTTGGAGGAGTTGTTGACTGGTGGAGAGTGGCTGGTAAAACAGGTTCTCTGCAGGGAGTTGTCTCTGAAACCCTGAGAGACCTGGATAGATCGAGCCCCGGGCGCGGGTCTCTGCTCAAACCCTGGCACAGCAGGCAGCGAGGAGTGATTTGCTTTTGCGTGGCACTCCTGGGCAGGGCGTCTTTTGCACGGCGCCGCTAGTAGACAAATTACAGCCTTGCCTCTGTCAAGGTAGATAAGAAACCATGTGATGCAGCGTGGTGGTAAACGGGTTGCAGGCAGGGTAAAGGTGCACAGGGAAATAACCTTGCAGGGAGTTCCTCCCTCCTCGGGGAGCAGAGTCTCCAAGGCAGTGCAGATCCCTGTGGGTCCGACAGCACCTTGGCCTTGATGCCAGCACAAGTTTTGGGGGCTCTCTGAAACTCACGGAAA